GAGAGAGAGAGAGAGAGAGAGAGAGAGAGAGAGAGAGAGAGAGAGACGTGCAAAATTATTTTAGATATTTTTCAGATACCAGTTACGTTTTTATTGAAATTATTATTGATTACATCTTTATTTAGGTTAATATTAGTCACACATCTCCTCGCATATTATGCGCATATCTTACGCAGGATGCTGTTTAACTTCCTCATCGTAACCTCTTATCACTTTGTCAATCCCGTATCGGCGGGTAATTACGGATCGTTCTGAGTCAGTGAAAGGATGACTGGCGTAACGAAAGCAACGCTCGCCACGCGAAAAGAGAAGAGTCGCGGCCTTTAAATCCCGTTAGATTTAATTTCGGACGTTTCGTCCGCCAGCATGGAGGTGCCCGAACGCTCGCGACGACCGTTCATGCGGGTGCCGACGTCGTATTATGCAGTTTGGAGCGCGGCTGAGCTGTCCGCGCGAGGCTTATCACGGCGCTCTTACAAAACTTGTTTTTCGCCCGCGAGTCGGCGTAAAGGATTCAAGCGCTTTACATAAGAAAGAAAAACAAAAGCGAGCTACTGTTTGGAAGAGGATGAACCATTAGTCACTGTATGTGTAAGAGGAAGGACTCATTACAAAGTAAACGAACCAAGTGAACGTCTTATTTATGCGAATTCCCATTAACCAGCAGCATCGAAACGTCTCCCCTGGGCGTTCTGGTGTAAATTTCATTCATTCGTATCCGATTCAGTTCCCAAAACTCCCTCGAAATTATGCACGGAAACCGCGTTGAAAGTGAAACGTGAAAATAACGACGATCGCTACAAGCGCTTTAACAAACTTTGAATCAAGTCTTTGAGTAATATACGTCCACTATATAGAACGTAAGCGTGTTACATATCGTCAGGGTTAAAAGACGGCCGTGTTTCCAAAATAAGCCCGAGAAACGTGCACTTGAAACGAATCGTGTCACGCAACAGTGTGTCACCGCGGCGACGTCGTCGGTCCCTCGCCTCTCTCGTTAACCCCCGAATGCATCCGCTGGCCGCGATCGAGAGTGCTCGATCATTAATGCACGAGGATACAACCGTCCTCCTGCTGTCCGCCCTATCTCACCGCGAGAGTCTTCGACTCTCTCGGATCCAAGGAGCCGAGGGAAGACTCGCGTGCGCTCGCGCGAGCCGCGTGGACACACACGTAAGTGGAGATAGGTGGGTAGGTGGGTTAACGGGCAGGCAAGCAGGCGAGCGGGCAAGGCGAGCTGGCAGGCAGGCAGGTAGGCAGGTGCAACGCTGATGTTGCCTGAGGACTGAAACAGCTGTCGTCTTGCTGTGCCCTACTGCAGGCGCACGCGCCGACCGCATCCGCATTTACATTACGTTGCGTTACCATTCTCTCCCCGTTCCCGGTTTTAATCGGCATCTTCGCGTAACGGTCGTCGATCCCGCCGCGGATGAACGTTTCCTAGAAAAACCGAGCCGATCCTGGGGCCGATGCGACGTGATGTGAACGACTCTCGCTTGGTCACGGCATATATCGATCGATTGTCTGCGCTCTCTCTCTCTCTCCCTCTCTCTCTCTCTCTCTCCCCCTCCCTCTCCCTTCCCCCTTATCTATCTTGGTCTCTCTTTCTCTTTGCCTGGCTGCTGCCCGCTCACGCGAGAGATACCTACCTACGTACGCGGATGGTTTTAATTATGCATCGCGTCGCGTGGGTTTGAAACGATTCGCCATGAAGATACGCATTGTACGCACGATCTTCGACGAGCCACGCTCGTGATCGGAGAAATGACGAGTGACGTCACAGAGGGAAAAGGAAAGTGTTAGTTCGTGTAACTCAATAAGAACCAAATGACGAAAAACTCACTCACGAAAAGTCTCTGTCACTCTGTGCGAGCGAGAACATTCGGCTACGTTAAAACTCGGTTGAGAGAGCAATGGGCCGAGTAAAAATCTTTTACAGGGATCTTCCTGCTTCTATGACAGAGTTTTTTATCTGATTTCCAGGTGACAGAAAACACTAACCGACAGTTACACTAACAGATTTGTATTATATATACTTTCGTTTTTTATTTTTTTCAATATCTTTCGCGAGTCGCGACACTAGAAACGGAGGATGTCCTACACCTGTTTGGTCGCTCTTGTTTGGAAATCCTGATGAAATGGTTTATTGGTCGGATAGCACTTCATCCCTCCAATGAGCGTCGCGGGAGATGAGGGTGAATGAGGAAAGGCAGTCCTTCTCAAGGGCTCTTGGTCACGACGCCTTGCCGTGACCGAGATCAGCGAAAAGGGATGGGAAAAGGGCGTGGGTGGAAAGCTGTGAAACATCGAATCGTGTCATGGCTGTGGAACATTCAATTTGACAAGACTTTCGATGTAAGCAAACTTCGAGGGTTGCACTTTAGTTTTATATAGTTTTATTCAATTAGTTTTATATTAATTTTATTCGATTAAACGTTATTAGCCAATGTATTTTTGAACTTATTCTTTGTGGATAAAATTCCATTGATGTTTCCGAGGAAACACGTGTTAGAGTCATTAGTTACATTTCATTCTCTGCACAAAAACATTAGGCTCTCTATTGTTGAAGGGAAAACAAGGAATGTGGGAACTCGTCGAGGGAACTGAGATAATATGCACAACCTTGTACCAAAAACAAAAAGAAAAGAAACTTTAACACTGATTCGCGCGTAAGTAAACGTGTTATAACGTAAATTAACATTGGAACATCATTTGCTGCAAATGAACGTCTAAAGAACGTTTAAAGAATAAACGTTAAAAGAAATTTGAAAAATACTTGTCGGAAAAATTCGGCAGATACAATCTTTTCGTTTTAAAGCTAAGAGAAATTGGCAGTGCGCAAAGCTGGAGAGAACGCGCGCTCGTTCGAACGTAAAGAACGCAAAGTTTGGTAATCGTAAAAATATTCTGCCTCTCTATATCAGCTCTGTTCTTTCCGCGTATGCTTATCTGCTGCGCTGATCATACGCTGTTACGGTTT